GGACCTAATGTTCTTGACACTTTCTACTGTGATGTCCCCCAGGTCATCAAACTTGCCTGCACAGACGTCTTTGTACTGGAGCTGCTGATGATTTCCAATAATGGGATGCTCACCACATTGTGGTTTTTCTTGCTCCTGGTATCATACATGGTCATATTATTGTTGCTGAGGTCTCAGTCAGGAGAGGGCAGGAAGAAAGCCATCTCCACCTGCACCTCCCACATCACTGTAATCACCCTGCACTTTGTACCCTGCATCTATGTCTATGCCCGGCCATTCACTGCCCTCCCCACAGATAAAGCCATCTCTGTCACATTCACAGTCATCTCCCCTCTACTCAACCCCTTGATCTACACTCTGAGGAACCAGGAGATGAAGTCAGCCATGAGGAGACTCAGGAAAAGACTTGGACCTTCTGATGGAATAGAGAAGTAACTTCTGCCTGTTGCCACCTTAAACGTTTCTAGCATAAATAAACTCTAGTTTCTATGCTGCCTTTTTTTTTGTTATTCTGATATATTAAGACACAAAAAAAATCAAGCTGATAGGTCTAATTCTTCTTTGCATTTTCAGTGTTTGGAATCATGCCTAAACCACTGAAGTTGTAAGTAAATCTTGCTGAAATCTTTTGAATAGATTCTGTTAAAGTCTCTAGCATTCATTTTTCCCCTTTGGTTTTATTTTTTGACAGAGGATCTCACTCCATTGCCCAGGCTAGCCTGATACTCACTATGTATCCCAGGGTATTGTCAAACACAGCAACCCTCTTGTACTTGCTACCAAGTGCTAAAATTGAAGGTGTGTGCCAAAACACAATACAGTTTCAATTACTTAAATCTAATTTTGTGTTTGTGTGCCAATAAGACTTTATTTATAGACACTAAAATATGAATTTCACAGAACTTTAGTGTATTAACTTTAGTTCTTGAACATTTTTTCACTGAAACCAAAAGCACTGGAATTGATTTGATCAAAGTGAGCTGCAATTTACCTTCCTGACTATCCTTGTGTGTCTTCATGATGTCACAATCAAAAGATAGACTCAAAAATTTTGCTAGAACTGTTACAGCCCAAAGCAAGTTAAGATTTCTCAAAACTCATCTGTTCCAAGTTCTAATCATTCTATTCTATGACTATGTGCAGACAGATATCTACGGAGTATTCTAGTCCACATCAATGCCCCTATTGCACTCTTAGGGCTATTTTCTGATCCTTGTCACCGTTATGTATCATAGGTGTGACAGCTAGGTAGGACTCCTAGTTGATTCCTTGAACACAACTCCTGCACCAAAGGCTCAGAAAACATCTCAGAAGAAGAGGTGGAAGGATTGGAAGTCAGAAGACTAGGAAATCTGCTGTGAGATTGTGTCTCCTAGAAATGACAGAGAAGCTATAGCTATGATACCTCAACAGTGTGGCTGACCAAAAACAGACCTGAACAAGTACAACACCAATAGACATGCTAACTTGGAAAGAGAAAATTTCATGGGGCTCCACCCATGCCAATTACTCAACCCTGTAATCACATACACATGAGTAACAACACTAAACATGATGAACAAGTTGTATTTGTATATTTATTCATATAAATGTACCAATAATAATTAATGAAAAGAAGGGCATGAATTTGAGAAGGAATGGCAGAGGGAATATGGGAAGGGCTGAAGGAAGGAAAGGGAAGAAGGAAATAATGTTGCTGTGGGATAATGCTTTTGTACACTGGTTTAATAAAAATGCTGATTGGCCAGTAGCCAGGCAGAAAGTACAGGCCAGATAAGTAGACAAGGAGAATTCTGTTAAGAGGAAGGCTGAGTCAGGAGATGACAGGCTGCCATCCTGGGAGTAGCATGTAATGGCACACAGGTAAAGCCATGGAACACATGGCAACATATAGATTAACAGAAATGGACTGAGTTTAAATGTAAAAGCTAGTCAGTGGTAGGCCTGAGCTAATGGCTGAGCAGTTTTAATTAAAATAAGCCTCTGTGTGTTTACTCAGGTCTGAGTGACTGCAGACCAGGTGGGACACAGAAAACTTCCAGCTACATAATGTGATTATATTTTTTTACTTCATTAAAATACTGAGTTTAGCTGGGCGGTGGTGGCGCATGCCTTTAATCCCAGCACTCGGGAGGCAGAGCCAGGCGGATCTCTGTGAGTTCGAGGTCAGCCTGGGCTACCAAGTGAGTTCCAGGAAAAGGTGCAAAGCTACACAGAGGAACCCTGTCTCGAAAAGCCAAAAAATACTGAGTTTATTTTACATGTATATTTGTCTCCCTACCATTTCCACATCTGACCACCACTATTACTATGTCCTATTATAACATTCCATACATACTTAAAACCAAGTAAAGGGTGGAGTTCCATCCTTGAAAACTAAACAGGCATTTTAGACAACACATTCTTGGCAGTGGAACCTGGACAACATTTATCAAACACAGTAGGTAAAGTTCTCACTTTGCATTATAAAAAGGACAGTGAGATATATCAACTGTTACAGAAATTAAGTAAGACAGAATTATTTCAAACTATTTAAACCATTTTCTTAAAGAGACTCCTCCACTGCCAGAGATCTTGAATAGCAATTCTTCACATAATTAATGAACTTGGCTTCCACTTTGTGAAGAGAACCACCTTGTTCTATACTTGCTTGCATTTTTGCCTTAATGTCTTCTATAGAACTAGGTCCTTTTGGTGTTTTGGGAGTTTTTTCCTGTTTTTTGAAAGACTCTTGACCCTTTGATCTTGGTGTTGATGATTTTAAGTCTTTTCCATTTTGGTTTGATTTTTGTGCAGTTTTGGTTGGGGTATCTCATACAGATTTCTGCACTGGAACTTTTTCTTCAGCTTCCTCATCATCAAAATAATCATCATCTTCATCATCCTCTCATCCTCGTTAAGTTTTACTTTTTTCTGCAGAACCTTGTTACCACCTCCAGGAGCAGATCATTTTCCAGACATGCTTAAGAGTTTTACATCCTCCTCATCTTCATCTTCTGACTCTGCATCTTCCTCTACAGCTACTAGGTGCTGTCCACTAATGTGCACAGGCCCCGAACCACACGTCAACCTTAAGACCACAAGTGGTGTAATTTCAGCCCCCAAGAGAAACTGTTGGTTGTACAGACATTTTCAAAGTTGTCAGTGTTACTTTAATTGGACTGCCTTCATATTTCATTGCTTCTGCCTCTATGACATGCAATTTGTCTTTGCCTGGCCCTAAATTAGCCGTTCTTAGTGATAACTAGTGCTCATTCTCATCATTATCCATCTTAAAGTGATAATCCTTGTCAGCTTTTAGTTCACAACCGAAAAGGTAGTTCTGAGGCCTGAGAGGACTCATGTCCATGTCCATCGAGTCTTCCATGAGGTGGAGGTACCCACTTGGGTGTGAGAGAAGTCGGACAGAGGGAACTGCCTACTGATCCTCAGAACAGACACGCAGGACAGAATCACGCCAAGGTGTGATTGTATTTTAATTTCAAAACAATGTTTTTTAAATTGGGAAAAATGAGGTAAAATGTAAATTGAAATCAGTGCATTACCAAAAAAAAAAAATTCAGGGCAAAACCTAGGAGAGTTGAACTAAAAGAATAAGGGATGGACATGATCAACATGCACTGTATACATGTATGGAATTTTCATAGAATTTTTTAAAATGTATCTTTTAGGAAACAAAGTGCAATGCACTACAAAGTGTAAATGGAGGGCAATATAGTGTGTGTCAAACTAACTAGGATGAAAAAGAATAGTTTCCCATTAACTCTGAATAATGAGGAGGAGAGCAGGCTTTCAATAGAGAAACCGTGAGATTCTCCTGCCGCTGTTTGTTGAAAAATAAATACATTGACTTTGTTGTTGTTGTTGTTCTATTTTGGGGGTGGGTGGGATTCTGTTTTTTTGCTTATTTTTGTTTGTTGTCAGTGTCTCTCTATGTAGCACTGGCTGACCTGGAACTCAATATGTAGACCAGGCTAGCCTTGAGCTCACAGAGATCTGCCTGGTTCTACTTCCCAAGCGCTAGGTTTGAAGGTAAGCGCCACTATGCCCTGCCATTGATTTTTTTTTTAAAGAGATCATAGTATGAAGAGATATTTATAGGTAAATTTGATCCCTTCACGTCTCCTTATAGGTAACAATGGAACATGGGGGACTAACAGAGGATGTGCTCACATCTGGATTATGATATTGGTTTCACAAGTATGTAAATATTTTAACCCTTATAAACTCTATACTATAAAAATGTACTTTTCCCTTATATGGCAATAGAACCTCAAACATGAATAATATTCTCAACCTATGAGTCATGATCCCTTTGGGGGTCACATATCAGATATCTTGCATATCAGATATTTATGTTACAATTCATAACTAGCAAAATTACAGATATGAAGTAGCAATGAATAACTTCATGCTTGGGAATCACAACATGAGGAACTATATTAAAGGGTAGCAGCATCAAGAAGGTTGAGAATCACTGATATAGATATTCTACTGATGAGAATTTGCATATAGTAAGAATTGCACAAACAATATTTTTTTAACTTCATGTAAACTATATATTCAAGTCTTGGAGAGGAATTGCCTCAGGATAAAGAATGAAGGATACATTAGGAATATTCTTGAACTTGGAAAAGCCTTCTTTTCCTTGTTTTGTTTTGTTTTGTTGGTTTTTGTTTTTGTTTTAGTTTTTGAGACAAGGCATTATCTGAGCCAAGTTGGCCTCACACTAACTAAGTAGTCCAGTATGATGGCCTTAAACCTCTGACTCTCCTGCCTCCCAAGTTCTGGGATTACAGGTGTACACTACCACACCTAGTTTATATATCACAACGTTCAGTTTATGGAGTGTTGGGCACCGAACCCAGCTCCTCATGCAAACTACATAGGACTCTACCAACACAGCTACATCTACAGTCCCTGTTACAGTTACTTTTAAGATATATAACTAAATTGTGTTCATAAAAGAAGATCAAGTGCTAAGGTTTAGCTCAGCCATACAGCACTTGCCCCGCATGTGTGAAGCCCTCGGTTTCACCACCAACACCAACCAATAAATAATCATAAACGGTAAAAATCAATCTCTGTAGAGCATATTCTCAATGGTGGTCAGATGGCCCAACCTTGCCCCATTCTGGCTGTCTGAACACTGTCTGTGAGCCAGATCATGTCAATCCTCTTCTCTGTACCAAGTGTCTCTCCATGCACTCAAGGACAAAGAACCCTGCACTGAAAGTCCATGTGAAGGCTTGAATGAGAACAGCTAATTAGTCGGACTGCAAGATTCTCACCACCACCATGGCCTGGCTCACTTCTTCCCTGACTACTCCTTACCTACTCTGGAACCTGCCAACCACCAGAGCATGCCCCTGGCACCAGCACCCAAATCAAGTTGTTCAGAACTACTTATAACTCCCACTCCAGAAATTTCCACA